CTTTGACAAAAGTGATCTGGAGGCTCTTTCAGTATGTATGTGGACAAAGCTTAATCTTCTCAGCCTGATCAAGAGATGTGTGGAGCAAATGAAAAATGACTCAGCAGATTGGTTCTGCGTAACTGCTGCGTCTACCTGCCTTTGCAACCTTGGAGAAGGTTGCAACGGATTCTGAGAGACAGCAGTGTGTGCGGGTCTGTGAGTGCCTTGTTAATATTCTTCAAGCTGGCAGCAAAACAAGTCAGCTAGTAAGGATATAGAATCTCTGCTTCTTTCCTTCCTTCCTTCCTTCCTTCCTTCCTTCCTTCCTTCCTTCCTTCCTTCCTTCCTTCCTTGTAGAAGTTTGACTTTGATTTCTTAAGCATGGGATGAAGAACAATATGCTGCCCCCAGAACAGCCTCCTAAAGGTGAAATCTATATACACTGCTCACTATACTGCTGGAGCTATACACACACATCCCTACCTACCTGAATGCGTGTAGCTTTATTTGACTCCATGCATAGACACAGACAGATTTTAAAGTTACAAACATTACTTTAGATGAGTGTGTTCCAGAAACCAGAATAATGTAGTAACACAACATAGGTACTATAGTTTTACACAGACAAAACATGTTGTCATCTCCCTTCTTCAGCTGCTCTGTTGAGAGGCAAAGTATAATGTTAGAGTAGTACTATAAGGTTCACCACTCCTCCTGTCCCTTACATAAGCAATGCCACATCCTAGTGCTATCATAACTGCATATCTACATTAAATCATTTTCAAACAAAGAACAAACTTATGCTGTAATCTTAGGTAAAGTCTTATAATTTCATTTAACTTTTTGTGCCCTGCCTCTCCGCTGTGAAGGCCTTCAGGGTGGTTCGCAAAAGTGGTTAAAATCAGAAAACCAATAATGATTAAAAACAAAGCACATAGCACCAAGAAGTAAGCTTCCCTGAACTTTTGAGCAAACGTATGTAATGTCAGGCTACATTGATAGGTCCTAGAACATGGATGTAAGCTAAATATCCTTACATAGATCCTATGGCTATTGGGAGCTGGATGCATCTTGTAAGGTTGATGTTTGACTCAGAACAGTTCGATACTAGTTTTAGGGCACTGATTCATCAGCAATGTCTCTTTGCTTGCTGATGCACAATGCCTGCTAAGGTGAACAGAGCTGTAAATAAGAACTTAATGCTGAATTGTTCACTTTTGGAATAAAAGCATAAAACTGACGAGTGCAGAGGTAGCAAATTGATCTAATGTTTACAGACAAAGCTAAGGTGTAAATATTTACCTTTCTGTACTGGGTAAAAATGGCATGATATAGGTATGGAAAACCTTTTTTTTTTTCTCGAAACAGAAATGGGGAGGAAGAGTTTGCTATTTCACACAGTCTTCTAAATGAACATAAAAGCAATGTAAGAACTGAAAAATTGTTAATTATTTTGTACTGCATATTACTATGCTCTCTTAGACTCAGCTTTGTAGCTGATAGGGTTTTCCCTCAAACAAGCAAAAATAAAATAAAATGGATGAACTGATTTTTCAGGAATATCATTTGACTTGGTCTGGGAACACTGATGCTGGAGAAATGGTTCCAGACTTGATCAGTCCCTTGGATGATGATGATGATGATGATGATGATGATGATGATGATTATTATAGCATTTCTATGCCGCCCCTTGCCGAAACCTCGGGGTGGCTTACAACATGATAAAATACATTGAAATACAATAGTACATAATAAATTACCATTAAATATAAAAATACAAAGAATACATTGATTTACAAAAATAAAATTAAAATTATCAGTATAAAATAAAAATATAGGAGGAGAAAGAGAAGGAAGAAGAAGTTGCCCTGGCCAGATCATATGTTTTAACAATTGAAATGATGTTTAAATAAAAAGGTCTTTACCTGGCGCCGAAAAACCAGTAACGACAGTGCCAGGCGGACCTCTTTGGGGAGTGAATTCCATAGGTTGGGTGCCACCGCAGAGAAAGTCCTCCTCCGGGTACTTACTCTCCTAATTTCTTTCATGGAGGGTTCCCGGAGAAGGAACTCTCCCGCAGATCTCAAAGGGCGGTTGGGCATATACGGACGTAAGCGCTCGTTCAGGTAGCCAGGACCCAAGCCGTTTAGGGCTTTGTAGGTCATAATCAACACCTTGAATTGGGCCCGGGCTTCAATGGGAAGCCAGTGAAGCTGACGGAGGACTGGAGTCATGTGAGCATAACGCCCCATCCCCGTCAGCAACCTGGCAGCTCTATTTTGCACCAGTTGACGTGTTCGGACTGTCTTCAGGGGAAGCCCCACGTAAAGCGCATTACAGAAGTCTAGGCGGGAAGTCACCAGCGCGTGTGTCACTGTCGCCAGGCAGTCGTACTCCAGGTAGGGGCGCAGCTGATTAACCAGTTCCTCACTCAGTCGATTTCTAGTTTGCATCCACTGCTCTGCCTAACCCATACACTTGCTGCTGTCTGTTTATCTACGTACTGAGGCTAAACTAAACTGCAATAAGATCTTTCCCTGCCTCCAAAATCTAGGCTAGGCTAGGCTAGGCTAGGCTGCGGTACAGCAGGCGTGCTGGAAATGCAGGCTGGTGACCAAGTGCGTATCACGTTCCCTGCTATCCTTTCCGTGCGGTTCAGTTCTGAGGGTTCCCATTGCTTCAGAGGACAGCGCTTAGCTAGCCACCCACTCAGTGATTAAATACTGGCTTTCAGTGATGTTTGTCCACACTTGGGTATAATGCTATGCTGAAACTTGAGTGCTTTGTGATGCGTGTTGCGATGTTACACAGATCAGCTGTTCACCCTGGTGTGCGTGCCTCTATGACTATATTCGAAATGACAGTGTGGATTGGGTAGGAATTTTGATCTATCTCTAATTATAGGGTTTGTGTAAGCCAAGCACTGTTAAGAGTGTGAGGCAGGCACTCTAAGCTGATAGGGGATTTTTGAGTCCTGCCTTGAGCCCTGCCATGTACAAAAGAAGAAGCTGGTTCATGTTTACTGTGTCCATTATCTGCACTGGGGTGGATCAGAAGTCCCAAGAGATCTTTAAAAAACATGTTCTGGTCTATATGCTCCGTCCCAGCTCCTGCCAACCTTGCAGTTCAAAAGCATGCAAATGCAAGTAGATAAAAAGGTACCACTTCTGTGGGCAGGTAACAGCGTTCTGTGCACTTCGGTGTTTAGTCATGCCGGCCACATGACCACGGAGACGGTCTGCGGACAAACGCTGGCTCCCTCAGCTAGGAAACGGAGATGAGCACCGCCCCCTAGAGTCAGGCATGACTGGACTTAATGTCAAGGGGAAACCTTTACCTTTACTAACTATGGAGTCTTTCAAACATCAGTACTAAAGCATCCTACAAAAACTGGCAGCCTTCAGATAGTCTCTCCTATGGGACTGGGATTAGTATATTCCTCTCCTTCCTCTGCATGCAGGTGAAAGAACTGAGAAGCTTCCATTTCTGCTTAGTGGCAAGTCATAATCTGTTGCTTCTGAATGCAGCAAACCATAATTTCCCCAGCAAATGGGAATCCCTAAGTGAGAGTTTGGCTGTATGTCAAATGCATCCACTGTCTTTGAGCTGTTTACCATCATTTGCCAGAAACGGTGGGTTTGCAATGGAGTGAAAATTCGTGCAGTGCCTGGTCCCAGTCCCAACTCTCTGATATATGAACTACATGTTACATTTTTAGGTGCACATGCAAAATATTTTACTTAAAAGCCCTTAAAAGTATTCAGGGCAGCTAAAGCAAGTGACATGCACAGTATTCATTACTTCGTAGCAGTGTCCTTGCAGCGTTTCCCCTACAATCACTCAAGCCAGAGAGCTAGCTATGTAGGAAACAGAACTGTGTTCAGGGCAACCCACCTTCAGCAACACACTTGACTCCATACAAAGAGTGTCAAAAAGGAATGACTGATAAATGAAGTGCTTTGATTAAAACATACTCTGTTGAAGTGGTGGGTGGACTTCATTGTTAAAAAGGACTCTTGGTGCAGAGAGAGGCCTGGCTGATTGCCAGGGTTATTCTAGGTCTTAGTGATGGCAGCATGATGGCAGATAGGACAGCAGTGCACCCCAGGCAGATTCTAATCCTTGCTGAAACTCAGCTCAGACGTTGCCAAACCGTAAGATTCTATATATGCACTTGGTAGGTGGGGGTCCCCTTCTTTTCTAAAATACCCTGTGGATAAACAAGTTTGATTTGAACAATGTAGCCAAAGTATCCCACTGCCCATTCATGTTGCAAAGCTATTGGTGGGGTAAACTGGTCTCTGCACTGTAGAATTAAGTTGATGGAGAAAAGGAGCTCAATGGTTCTGTATTTGATATTATTTCCTCAGCTGAAAGCTTCAAAGTATTAAACACTGTGGCTTTAATCAAATGTTAGTCCAATGCAAGGCCCATTCATTTCAATGGGCCCACTTTAAGAAGGACTAACATTGGGGAAGGGTATAGTCCAATGATAAAATGCATGCTTTACATACAAAAGGGTCCAGGTTTGATCCTCAGCCTTTCTAGGTAAGGGGAGAAAACACCTTCCTTAAACACTAAACGGGAGAGTTGCTACCAGCCAGTGTCAGCAGTACTGGGCTACAAGGGCCAGTGCTATGATTTGACCTTTCTTTGTGTGGATACAACCATGTGTCTGTAATTAAGAAAAGCATGATTGAAATAGACCGAAGAGACTTCCCCATGTCCCACAGTAATGCTATGAAACTGCCTTATATTGAGTCAGAATGTTGGTTCCTCTTTCCCAATACTCCTTTCTCCTACCTGGCAGTGATCATCCGGGAAATCTTTCCAAGCGGCTTTACATGAGATCTTTGCAGTTTGCAGTGCGAACTGGCATTGACCCTGGGGCACGTGCATAGCTGCAATACAGTGCTAACATTGTAGCTCCTTTTCTCTCCCCCACCACCCGCCAATATTTAAACCTGATGATTTTATGGCCTTACAAACTCTGTTCTCTTTTTGTGTGCAATGTATAGGTTATGCAGAAACTTGGTAAAGCCGATGAAACAAAAGACGAGCAATTTGAGCAGTGCGTGCAAAACTTCAACAAACAGCTGGTAAGTAGCTCTAAAGATACGTTCTGGAGGCAATGCATCCTGAAAACCCAGATGGTTCTCTTATGCTGGAATCATACTTCCTCGAAAGAGTGATAGAATTAGCCATACTTTGGGTTGTGGTGGAAAGGGGAGGAAAAATGCGGTAATGGGACTTTGGTGTGATAAATTAGTGTAAGCAACATGACTCGAACAATATCTGCTCATCTTTAATTTCTAGCATTCAAATCTCTCCTTAACTTGACATTCTGGCAGAATTATTGATATGAGCAAAATAGCTTTTTGGTAGTGGTGGCACAACTCTGAAATGCCATGTATGTATGTATGTATGTATGTATGTATGTTTTGGTGTCTACTACATAGCCAATGTCTACTACATAGCCAATTTTCAGTCTCTTCTAGACTGAAATTAGACATGGTCCTTCTATAGATCCTTAGTTTTAGCTCCTTGTTGCCTCTTCCCAAGGACCCAGAATTCCCAGTGTGCATGCCATGCTAAACATCCTGGGAATAGACTTTCTCTGGGTTATTTAACTCCTTCAGTTTGGGGAGCTAAATAACCCAGAGCTGAAGCAACTGGCCATCTGGAGCCAGATGCATCGTTTAGTCTTATGATTTGCCACTTTCCGTGGTTTAAAAATCCCTGGGCTGGCATTGCATCCAGCCTGGATATATGTGTCATTTAGTTGTTTATTTTTTATTTCCAAACTGGCTCTAATGGTAAAACATTCTCAAGGCTGCTTCCATTAGTTCAGAAAATGCCAGTAACATAAAATTTATTAACACAAATAATAGATAAAAGTAATGCCAAATAAAACTAAAATACAAATATTGAAATACTTTAAGGGTGGCAGCTAAATTTATTTTTACTTTTGGTATAAATTAAAGACATTTTTATTGAGACAGGCTTATAATGTGGAATAGACATAGTATGACTGTTGCTAGTTTTGATGTAAAGCATATTTTGCCCTTGCTGCCACTATTTTGTTACTGTTTTGCATTTCTTTTTTTACTGATTTCAGTTTTATGGTTATGCTGTATGCAGCTCTGGCTACTTTTAGTAAATCAGTACGTAAATAAATTGTTTACTAATCATATTTAACTTTGCCCTATGCTTTTCTTCTTGAGTTCACTGTTTAACATACTCCAGCTTGGAAACCAGGAATGTCTTTTAGCTCTTACTCTGATTTTCTGTAAGGTTTGGTGCTACCCTTCTGCCAGTTCTTCTAAATCTAAAATAGGCATAGTTCCTTCAAAACTGGGCCTGTAAGAATGTGAAAGGGGGCCCTATAAAGCTATATTTTGATTGATTGTTCAGGTCTCCATACTTTTGGCAAGCCACTGTAAAAATAAAATAGCCTAGTATAATTCACTGTTCTGCCAGCCTGTTGGTTATCCCTAGGAAAGCAATCTCTGAGAAAGCAGACTGGCACCATCATGCTCCCATTAATGTATAATTAAAGTCAGAGAAACTTGAGAACCAAAGAGAGCTATTTCTGTGTAGGTAGAGATCCTTCTTTGTTCAAGTTGTTGTATCTCAGGAAGAATGGAAATGGCTTCTCAGCATTCTCTGAAAAATGGACTAATTCTTTGCTGCATTGCTGTGAAATCTGGTTTTGTTGGATGCGTTTCAGTTATTGAGGCCTGAGGATGCGGACAAGGTGCTTGGTCAGGTTTGACCTACCACCTGTGTACTTGATCCTTGTCCATCATGGTTAATTGGGAGAACTAAGGAGGGGATTTTCTCATGGGTCCTAGGAGGCTGTGATTAAGCCTCTCCTAAAAAAAGCCAAACCTGGACCCAGTGGATGTGAATAATTATAGATCTGTTGCAAATATTCCTTTCTGGGCAAGATGTTCAAGTGAGCAGTGACCAGACAGTTCCAAGCACTCTTGGATGAAACAGATTATCTAGATCCAGTTCAATCAGGTTTCAGGTCTGGCTTTTGAATGAAAACTGCATTGGTTGCCCTAGGGGATGACCTTTGCTGGGAGAGAGACAGGAGGAGTACAACCTTGTTGATTCTCCTGGACCTGTCAGCAGCTTTCGTTACCATCAACCATAGTGTCCTTCAGGATAGGCTGGCTGGGTTAGGAGTTGGAAGCATTGCATTATGGTGGTTCTGCTCCTACCTGGCTGACCCATTCCAGAAGGTGGTGCTGGGACATTACTGCTCCCAGAGGTTATCTGGAGGTATGGGCTAAGTTTCATCAATATGTAGATGTCACTCAGCTCTAACTCTCTTTTTCATTCAATCCTGGTGAGGCAGTGGTCATTCTAAATCAGTGCCTGAGCTTGGTAAAGGATGGGATGAGGGCCAATAAAATGAGGTTTAATCCAGATGAGGTGGAAATGCTGTCAGTGGGTTGATTGTCTGTTTAGTTGGAAGATTCTCAACTGGCTCTGTATGGGGTTGCCTTGTCCAAAGGACAAGGTTCATAGTTTGGGTGTGCTGCTAGACCCAGAACTATTGCTGGAGACACAAGTGGACTCAGTGTGTAGGAACGCTTTTTATCAGCTTAGACTAGTTTACAGACTGTGTCCCTATCCTGGCCAGGTATCCATGCTCTGGAAACCTCTTGGTTGGACTATTGCAATGTGCTTTACGTGGGGTTGTCTGCCTTTGAAAGCAGTCCAGAAACTTTAACTCATTGGGTAGTGTAGCTGCTAATCAGGACTGACCCATGAGATCATGCTGCACCAGTCCTCTGCCAGCTGCACTGGCTGCCAGTTGAGGTCCAGGCCCAATAAAGTGCTTGTTTTAACATTTAAAGCCCTAGATGGCTTGGGGCCAGGTTATCTGAAGGAACACCTTGTCCCATATGAATTGTATGAGCTTAATAATTGTAAACCACCCAGCGAGTCCATAGTACTATGGGGCAGTATACAAATGCAATAACTAAATAATAACCCAGGCAGCTGTCTTTGATTTGCCCTAAGCTGAGAATCTTTTTGTATAGTCAGTGTGGGCGTATGGTCTCTTATGAAAGTGGAAGGGGTATAAAATTAGCTGTCTCTCTCACTGCCCAACAGTGCCATCTTTTCCTTGTTCCTGAATGATGTCTGCATGTCTCTCTCTCTCTCTCTCTCTCTCTCTCTCTCTCTCTCTCTCTCT